TACCTTTTAGGTGACATGAATGAGTTGAAGGGAAGTTATGAGCTGTTTCTGAGAGACAAATAACACCAGGATCCTTTTTTATGTAGCTGACAGCTGGTAACTGTGCAGGGGCGGGTCTAGCAAAGTTTTGCCAGGGGGGCTGTTAGGGCATTAACAGGGAGAGGGGGGCACAAAGAAATACTTTTCTTTCTTATTCTCATTTAAAATGTCTAGCTTTTATTAAATAATTATCTGAATCATGCGAACAAAGTTTTTATCTGACGTAAAATGTATAGAAATCATACATATACCAACAAGACTGTACATCACTGTCACAACAGGGTTTGTTTTCAGTCAAAGGCTTCATGGCTTTAATACCTGGTGGGTCGGTCTGTAGTCAAAATGCTCGATTTTCTGTCCCAGTCCAGCCCTGCAGGTTAATACTGGAAGTGTCACCATGCCAGCTGACTGTATTTCATCATCAGCCAGTGTTGTTCTTGATCAATATTACCAAAGTTTACCATAAGGCAGCATAGAAAGTATTTACTTGCTTTCAGGTTTTATTCAAATGTTAGTCTTTTCAGTTGTTTCCCCACTTTTTTCCTGTTTCAAAATCAAACACCAGTTTGTAGGAAGATTATCTTTTAATAGGCAGATGAAGTTTTACATTGGCATTGGCTAATTTGCCAATTGTATGTTAAAAATGTTCGTATTTTAATATTCAAAAATGTTTTTGCCCTGTAACACCGTAGTGGTTAAAATCTCATTCTAATAAGAGTTAAAAGCGCATTCGGTTATTAGGTTTACAGGGTTATTGAATTATGGTGAACGGTTGGTAGAATTTTTTTTTAACATTATCTGCCAATTGCATCTGCCACCCTTCTCCAAATCTGTGCCCCTACCTGGCCCCCCCAACAAAAAATTTCTAGACACGCCACAAGGTTTCCACAGTCGATGATCCATGCAGGAATGTCTTTCTGCCTGCTGTGGAGGTCACGTGTTTCCGGCCACTGTGGCGGTCACGTGTTTCCGGTTAGTGTGGAGGTCACGAGTTTCCGGTTAGTGTGGAGGTCACGTGTTTCCGGTTAGTGTGGAGGTCACGTGTTTCCGGTTAGTGTGGCGGTCACGTGTTTCCGGTTAGTGTGGAGGTCACGTGTTTCCAATTACTGTGGCGGTCACGTGTTTCCGGCTACTGTGGAGGTCACGTGTTTCCGGCTACTGTGGAGGTCCCAATATGACCCTCCCCAGTGGCTGCAGCCAGACCCTTCTCAAAAAATCACGGTTTTAGTAACACAGTAACGCAGCGTGTTTATGGGAAAGTAACAGTAATCTAATTACTCTTTTTGCAATAGTAATCCCTTACTTTACTCGTTACTTGAAAAAGTAATCGGATAACGCGTTACTGCCCATCTCTGTTCACGAGTGACGGGAGAAGGGAACAGGAGATCGACAGAGGGATTGGTGCTGTGGCTGCAGCGATGCAGACTCTGTATCGGTCTGTTGCGGTGAAGAGAGAGAGTAGAGAGCTGCTCCTTCACATCGAAAGGAGCCAGTTAAGGTGGTTCAGGCATCTGACAAGGATGCCTCCTGGGCGTCTCCTGGGTGAGTCGTTGCGGACATGTCCCACCGAGAGGAGGCCTCGGGGCAGACCTGGGACATGCTGGAGAAATTAAATCTCTCGGCTTGTCTGGGAACGCCGCGGTGTTCCCCTGGACAAGCTGGAGGAGGTGGCTGGGGAGAGGGAGGTCTGAGCTTCTCTGCTGGCCCTGGATAAGAAGAAGATGGATGGATGGATGGCACTTGCAAATCTTGCATCTTAAAATCTCGTTGAAATGGTGCGCGTTTCTGTTTCACCCCTTCAAAAGGTATACACAGGCATTTTGAGGCATGGCAGTGGATGGAGATGATAAACAAAAATGTGTAACGTACTTGACATAGGTCAAGTCAGTTTTTCCATTTAAATGTGTAGATATGAAAGTTTGCAAATTAAGCTCTTCAACAGAACACGATGCTTCCCTGAGAACATTTATTGCACTTTTTAACACATACACAGTATAAACACACCAGTAACAGTGGTAAAAAAGCAGTTTGCTACTGCAATGTTTTCACCTGTGCCAACTTTGATGATGTTCCAAGTATTACACAAAGAGGATAACTGGACAGAAACAGCACTTCAGCATTTAAGAAATAAGTTTAGTCCTGAGAAAAGTGAAACCAAAATTAAGGAAGATGTTTTTGAATCGCTACCTTATCGTGGTGGAGGGGTTTGTGTGTCACAGGGATCCCAGGGGCTATGTTGTCTGGGGGCTTTTGCCCCCTGGTAGGGTCTCCCATGGCAAATTGGCCCTGGGTGAGGGACCAGACAAAGAGCGATTCATAAGACCCTTATGAAAAGGACACCGAGGGAACAGTTTACCCTGCCCGGGATAGGGTTACCGGGGCCCCGCCCTGGAGCCAGGCCCGGGGAGGGTGCCCGAGGGCGAGCGTCTGGTGGCCGGGCCTTAGTCCATGGGGCCCGGCCGGGCACAGCCCGAAGAGGAGACATGGGCCCATCCTCCCGCAGGCCCACCACCCGCAGGAGGCGCCATAGGGGTCGGGTGCATTGTGTGCCGGGTGGCGGCCAGGAGCGGAGGCCCTGGCGGACTGACCCCCGGCTGCCAAGACTGGCAATAGGGACATGGAATGTCACCTCTCTGGTGGGGAAGGAGCCTGAGTTAGTGCGTGAGGTTGAGAGGTGGCGGGCTGGGATGGGTATCCTAATATACCCCCGGCTTGCTGCCGGTACATTGGGATTTTTCCCGGTGGACGAGAGGGTTTGTTCCCTGTGGGACTCCGGAGGCAGCCGACAGGTATCGACAGGCCAAGCGAAATGCGGCTCGGGCAGTGGCGGAAGCAAAAACTCGGGTGTGGGAGGAGTCCGGAGAGGCCATGGAAAAAGACTTTCGGACTGCCTCGAAGAGATTCTGGCAAACCGTCAGACGTCTCAGGAGGGGAAAGCGGTGCTCTACCTGCACTGTGTATAGTGCTGGCGGAGCGCTGCTGACGTCGACTGAGAAAATTGTCGGGCGGTGGAAGGAATACTTCGAGGACCTCCTTAATCCCACTGACACGTCTTCCGAGGAGGAAGCAGAGTCTGGGGATGAGGGGAATGACCTGCCAATTTCCGGGGGCGAGGTCACTGAGGCAGTTAAACAACTCCTTGGTGGCAGAGCCCCTGGTGTTGATGAGGTCCACCCCGAGTTCCTGAAGGCTCTGGACGTTGTAGGGCTGTCCTGGTTGACACGCCTCTGCAATGTTGCGTGGAGATCAGGGCCAGTACCTGTGGACTGGCAGACCGGGGTGGTGGTCCCCATCTTTAAGAAAGGGGACCGGAGGGTGTGTTCCAACTACAGGGGGATCACACTCCTCAGCCTCCCTGGGAAAGTCTATGCCAGGGTGCTGGAAAGGAGAGTTCGTCCGCTAGTCGAACCTCGGATACAGGAGGAACAATGCGGTTTTCGTCTTGGTCGCGGAACACTGGACCAGCTCTTTATCCTCTCCAGGATACTCGAGGGTGCATGGGAGTTTGCCCAACCAGTCTACATGTGTTTTGTGGACTTGGAGAAGGCATTCGACCGTGTCCCTCGGGGTGTCCTGTGGGAGGTGTTGCGGGAATATGGGGTGTCTGGCCCATTGCTACGGGCCATTCGATCCCTATACAACCGTTGCAAGAGCTTGGTTCGCATTGCCGGCAATAAGTCGGACTCGTTCCCGGTGGGTGATGGGCTCCGCCAGGGCTGCCCTTTGTCTCCGGTTCTGTTCATAATTTTTATGGACAGGATTTCTAGGCGCAGCCAAGTGGCGGAGGGCTTTCGCTTTGGTGGCCTCAGAATCTCATCTCTGATTTTTGCAGATGATGTGGTTCTGTTGGCTTCATCGGGTGAGGGCCTCCAGCTCGCACTGGAACGGTTCGCAGCCGAGTGTGAAGCAGCGGGAATGAGGATCAGCACCTCCAAATCTGAGGCCATGGTTCACAGCCGTAAAAGGGTGGAGTGCCCACTCCGGGTCGGGGATGAGTTCCTGCCCCAAGTGGAGGAGTTCAAGTATCTCGGGGTCTTGTTCGCGAGTGATGGGAGAAGGGAGCCGGAGATCGACAGACTGATTGGGGCTGCAGCTGCAGTAATGCGGACGCTGCACCGGTCCGTCGTGGTGAAGAGGGAGCTGAGTGTAAAAGCGAAGCTCTCAATTTACCGGTCGATCTACGTCCCTACCCTCACCTATGGCCACGAGCTGTGGGTAGTGACCGAAAGAACGAGATCGCGGATACAAGCGGCAGAAATGAGCTTCCTCCGAAGGGTGGCTGGCCTCTCCCTTAGAGATAGGGTGAGAAGTTCGGCCATCCGGGAGGGGCTCAGAGTAGAGCAGCTGCTGCTCCACATCGAAAGGAGCCAGCTGAGGTGGTTCGGGCATCTGACAAGGATGCCCCCTGGGCGCCTCCTGGGTGAGGTGTTCCAGGCATGTCCCACCGGGAGGAGGCCCCGGGGCAGACCCAGGACATGCTGGAGAGATTATATCTCTCGGCTGGCCTGGGAACGCCTTGGTATTCCCCCGGATAAGCTGGAGGAGGTGGCTGGAGAGAGGGAGGTCTGGGCCTCTTTGCTTAGGCTGCTGCCCCCGCGACCCGGCCCCGGATAAAGCGGATGAAGATGGATGGATGGATGGATGGATGGATGTTTTTGATGGACCTGAAATCTGGGACCTGATGCTTGACACTGAGCGCAAAAGGAAATTGAAGCCAACTGAATTGGAATAAACACATTATTACAGTTTTGGTGGGAAATAGTTAAAATTCCACTCATCGTCTTGATATATCATTATCCAAATGTGTAAAAACATCAGTGATGTCAGTGTGTATCTCAAACATCTGGCGTGTTGTCTTAAATTGGATTTCATGTCTTGAATCGGTGTAAAAGAACTAGGTAACACAACGGCTCATCTTTTACATGCTTCTAACCTTACAAAAAACATTGTTCACCTTTGAGTGTCAGAGAGGTATTTGTTTAATTCATTCCAGTGAATCCCCCCAGAAAACTATAACATCAATAACAAACATAAAGTTATTCATTCGCTGATTAGCAGCCTTTAGCAGTGAATTTTATGGACAACCCTAAGAAAGACGTGGTGCTGCTCCTGGATATCACACGGAAGTAATGCATAAAAAATAATCTGATGTAAAAGGTAAAGTTTAAAAGGAGGTCTCTGATGAGGAAGCGTGCACAGCGCCAGAGCTAGAAGGTGCTGCTCTGCCGAGCCAGAAAGTAATCCCTGTTCTTTTTCCTTCTAGGTTTGAAGAGGACGTAGAGAAACACAGAGACCACTGTGAGGAATGAGATCACAGCCCCTGCAGCCACAACCACCCATGTAAAGGTGGAGTCTGTAGACAGAGAGGCAAAGGTAGATTAGTGTCTTTACATATCAAGGTTTAGTTGTCCTGTCTTTGGTTTGTTGAGGTGATCTCAACAAACCAAAGACAAAAAATATAACTTAATACTGTGTGTGTCGTCAATTTTGCGAGAGTTCGCAGCCTAATGTGAAGAACAGCTCACCTTCTAGTCGAAGCTGTGCAACAACTTCTCGTCTTCCTCCTTTGTTCTGAGTGACACATTTTAACTCTGACTTCTCGTCTTCTTCTGTTATTGGTTCGACAATTAGCCTCAACTCAATCTGGCAGCCTTTGGACACCCTGGTAACCCTGGAAACATCGAGACAAGCAGCCGTCTGTTTTTAATGCTGTGAACGAGGCGTGTCTCTAATGATTTCACATAAAGAGTAATCATTAGAGTCAGAGCTGTTAGCAACACCTGGTAGTAGATTATTTCAATACTGGTGGATCAAATATCCATAACAACCTCTCAGAAATGTGTTATTTAACTTGTCTGAGAGGCAAGACACCATCACAGTTTTTTACAGACCAGATCCTGTAGGAGCGCAAAAGGTTATGTTGGAAATAGGCACGATCGCAAAGTGGGTTTGGAAGACCACGATGACCCGTGTTTCCGGCTACAGGGCTTATCTTTAGCATGCACATACACATGTTTGTCTGCTGGCCTTTCATTTGTATTTTCTTTTGCAATTTTTCTCATAATGGTTCCATCCATTTATTCTCTAACCTGCAGTCAAAATCGAAGAAGCTATTATCATTCCAAAGTAGCATCAGTTGAACTCGTAATAAACTTACATTTAAGTTAGATAAGGTTTACGTGTAATTTTAGAACCAGTGCAGACAAAATCAAAAATTACCTTCTTCCCCCCTGCAGAGCACGCTTGTCAAGGTACGATGACTCCACTGTCTGGCTATTTACCAACCACGTGACCTCAGTAGAATCTGCTGTTTGACATTCGGTGAGCACCTGACAGAACAGTTTCAGTCCTGAACCTAAAGAAAGTCAGAGGCAAATCTAGATGAGACATTTAATATATATTTACAGTCTGTTTGGTTCTATGTTTATTTAAGAATGAGGTTGTATTGTTATTATTTATTTTAGGACTAAAGAGTTTTATCACTCACCATGTGGACTTTCAAAAACGGTTCCATTTAGTGGTGAAACAATCACAGGTGGCTGAACTATTGGAGCTAAAACATAAACAAGGCATTTCTTCATGAACAGTCCCTCTGGGGAATTTGAATTAATCAAATAAAAAAAAATAAAACATCTATCTATCTATTAAAAAACTCACTGTTGACAGTGCTGGTGCTGATTAACCCAAGGTCAGAGGTCACAGAGATGTTAGGCACAGTGGATTTGGTTGTGATCTCAGGATCAGGGCCTGGAAGACACATCCAAACAAACGGCTCCTTAAATAATAACAACAGTGGACTATTTGGCACAGTAATAATCATTAATGTGTTTGATGGAGTTATCTGTGCGGCCCATGCTATTTCCCTAGTGGGCCAGTAGAGGGCAGTGCACCACAACGCTCTAGTTGTAAAGAAGTAAATTGATGATCTTTATGTAAAGTACTTGACCGTTGCACATTGTCATAAAATTAAAGTGATTTGCTTATTTAAGTATTAATTTAATGAATTTTTTTAAAGATTTTTTTTCTCATTTGCTCTGCATGTTTACTTAAAAAGAAGCATAAGTGTGATCTGTCCTCTAGCCTGACAGTTGTATTATACTTAATAATCTAAAACTATAAATGCAGTAATAGCCATGTAATAGATAAAAACTCTTATTTAACCCACATTTCTCAGCACATGCATGACTTTGCAGATCACAAACCTTGCACATGGAGAAGATAGACTCTGCTGACTTTGTACTGCTGGTTGTTAATGCGCACCCTGAGCTTGCAGGTGTAGATGCCTGCATGGGTTCGCTTCACAGCTGGGATCATCAGTTTGCCTCTGTGCTGTTGGAAGGACCCTGCTCTGCCTGCTGGAGAAGCAGTGGTGTTGGAGTCCTGCAAGAAGGCAGCATGTGGTTAAATGACTCATCACTACCAGCCTTAGCCAATTACCTCAAAAGAGTGTAAAAAAATATCCCTGTCAACCGCATCAGGCAGAAAGTTCCTTGCCAAGCGCCGACAGGTTCGTTCACTCACCTTGTACCACTCTATCATGCTGTCCGTCTTGTTGAAGTTACGCAGAGATGGACACTCTAATGTCAGCGTCTCTCCCACTGCGGCTGTCACTTTATGCGTCAGCTTTTTCATGTCTACTAAAGTGGGCTCGTACACGTGCAGCTTGATACTTCCAGTTACGCAGTAGGTCTCATTTCTGGAAACAAAAGTGTTACAAGTGACCAAGTTTTCTCCAGTTTGAAAGTTTCAATCCGGAGAGGAAAGTATAAAAAGAAACATACTTTCTGCTAGTTTCTGATATGTTGCTTTGTAGCCACCCTGTCTGTAAATTGGAGGGGGGGCGGTTTTCCATCTAATTTCTAACAAAACAGCAAGTAGTTTAAAAAAAATTGTAAAAATTGAAATGTGAAAAATAATACTTTTATTTTAGGTAATCATTGCATGTTTAAGTGTTGGACATAAAAACTAAACAATGTTGTCATTTGTTCCTATCAGATTACTTATCAGCTTTTGCTAGTTTTACCAGCATCGCCTGTGGAAAGAACGGTCTTGTTACTTGGAGAGATCATTTCTCTTGACTCTGGTTAACTACCTGTATGTGCAGGTGTATTTCCCTGAGTCTGAAGCCACAGCTGGGAGGAGCCACAGCTGGTTATCCTGCTGCTGAACACGTCCCTGATAGTTTGTGCCCTCCATCTCATTGTCCTTGGTGATGGAGTACTCAGCGGTTGGGGGGGCAATGTTGCGTTTTTCAAGAACATGGCTGAATATCGGGAAAGAGAGGATTACTGCTTCACCCTCCACTCTGAATGTCGCCACCTCTGGATCGACCAGGTAGCAGCCATCTGCAAGTACATATTAGGGCCATGTAGTGATTAGAAACGACACGTGCAAAAAAATCTAGCAGTGCAACTCATAAAGTGTGATTCTCACAAGGCAGTCACACTGTCACATGAGCATTAAGTCAGTATTATCAAAAACCTCTTTCAGTCCCTCCAACACACCACCTACAGTGCTCAACATTAGACCTCCACCCGGTGAAAGGTTGATCTTGCTTAACCATTACAGTAACACTTTTGATGTTTCTGCAATGGTTAAGCAACCAGTATGATCAAGCTCTGAGATCCAAATTCTACTTTTTAATGTTAGAAAATAATTATCAGATTTTTTTTTCTTTACACTTTTACGAAAAAGCACATTATAATTTTTTGATGAAGATGCCGTACCTAATAATTTGCCAAATATATAGCTATAATTTTTAGTTTTAAAGAACTTTTTGACAGCCTTCTTTGTGTTTTCTCGTTCTAATAATTTTGGTAACGGCTGTACCTGTAGGGCTTGAAAGATCGCGCCACAGCATCTACATGTAAACATATGTAGAGTGGGTGATGATCATGGAGTCGGTTGTAATAAGATATCTGTCTAAAAAGCAAGATCACCCCGCTGTAATACTGTAATGATCACAATGCATTCTCTCTGTGATGAATACTACTGCCTCTTACAGTATGCAGTGTGTGTAGTGTAGCTGCTGCAAGCTCACCTTTCGTTGGCAAAGGAGGTAATGGAGGTCCTCCATAAACACAGCTGATGATGACCACAGCACATGTTAAAGGCAAAAAGACCATGATGGCAGTCTGCAGGGAGACAAACGTCTGAAATAAAACATCCACCAGCAAAACTTGTAGTGATGTTTAAACAAGTCGGTTCAGTTGCTTCCAGCTTTCCAGCTTAAATGTTTTTTCCAGTAAAACATTAAAGAAAAGGCTTAAGAGAAAAAATAACCCACAGAGAGGATAAAAAAGGGCATCGAAGGCCAGAAAAATAACAAAGGAAAAACTTCAAATGTTATCTGGACATGAGGCTTTAAACACTGGGCTGCTGAGGTATAAGTGTCCTCGCCTCATAAAGCTTTAACCAAATCGGCTTTTATGCAAACTCTTTTCAGATTGTAGAGGTTGTGACATCAGCACATCGTCATCAAAGATGTCGGCAATCCACTTCATCTCGCCCCCACATCCTAGAGTCAAATTTAGGGAGTTTACCAATGGCACCACATGGGATGACTCATATTAAACCTTTTAAAGTCACTCACATCATAGGTCAGTAAAATGAATAACAATAGTAACTGGACTAAAGATGTAGTATTAAAATATGTTTTTGATGTTCGAATGAACAGAATGGCTTGGTGATAAATTGGGGTTTAGCTACTATTTTTTTATTCCAATACTAAAGACCTAAACTAGTAGTGAGGACAGGTGTAACCTATAGCAATTTTTTATTAAGATCAGGGCAACAATTTGGTAATATATTGCATATTCAGTCAACAATAAATATACATTTAGCAGGGGTGGGGAACTCCAGGCCTCAAGGGCCAGTTGTTGCAGCTTTTAGATCTCACCCTGGGCCAACACACCTGAATCAAAGGATTAGTTCATCACCAGGATTCTGGAGAAGTAATTTAAATCAGCTGTGTTGGATCAAGGATATATCTAAAACCTGCAGGACACCGGCCCTCGAGGCCTGGAGTTCGACACCTGTGATTTAAAGACGCATAAAAGTGCTGCATAATAACATTAGTGTAAAGCCTACTTGTATTTAATTTTTTCTAAATATAGTCCGTTTACTGTATCCTATTTGCACACATATAGTAGTATATAGCATACTTTGAAAGTTTTCCGTATCGTATTTAAATGCATTTTGTTAGGTAAGATTTCCATAGTTTTGTTTCCGTGGAAACAAGTGGATTTTCGCTTCTGTTTTCTCCTCCGATTACAAGGATCAGCTGAGAGAAGTGAACATTTTCTCGCTCACTCTTACACACAGACAGACAGACACGAGTGCCACACACATGCGGGTGTGATAAATCATTTCCACACTGAAATCCTCCATGTGTCATTAAAAGGAAGGCCCATAAAGTGTGGGAGTGCCAGTGTTGTAAATGAATATGCATACACAAGTCACAATGCACTGACACATTTTCCAGGATTAAGAGTTTCCATTAAAGCCGAGAACAATTTTATAACTCATTTATTATGACCGTTTTTTTTACTGCTACTGCCAAACCTTACAATGCTATCTGTAGTTTCCTTCAGTTTAAGTATAATATTATAAATACTGCATGTGCTCTTATGATAAGCTCAATATTTCATAATTAAATGAACCTTTTGTATTCACACAGTCTACGACGAAACTAGAGAATTTGACCTCCACTTCAAAAATATATCTCAAATTATTAACGCAATGATGGCGACTTAATTCGACATTAAGTTGCGGATGCCTTTGCATTTATCGTGAAAATCACTTATTTAAGAAAAAAAAGTATACACATCCTCGTTTGATTCAGTAGAACTGTCGGTCTGAGAAACATTTACATTTTCTTCCTACAGTGCACCCATACAAATATTTTATTATAGTAGTTTTGGATAAACTCTAAAGTCTCGATCTGTTGCAAACTAAGTAGATTTAAACATTTGTGCAGCAAATGAAATATTTAAAGTAAACATGCTGTGACAGTAAAACCCTGCAATGTAAATGGTTGCAAATATGACAAAACAGAATAAAATATGGAATTTTCAGTACTTATTAGTACATAACAAGCGCATTATTGTTAAAAAGTTATATATTATAGTTAGGCAGTTTTGTTATATAAGCAACCATATGTGTGTACATATAAATACGGCACACGCGTGTACCTAACCTTACTTTCCTATGATTACATACACAGCAATGCAGTATACTCACGGTGTAAAGGTGAGCGTGGCGGTGGTCCTGGCAGTGTGACACTGGTGACAGGTAGATGTGGTGACAGCGTGGACTGAAGCAGCAAATGATCAGTTTCCTATTAGCTCAGGGGAAACCTGCAGTCTCTTTTCAATGTTCCCACCCCTCTGAGGTGGAAATTTCTCAGGTTTCCCAATGTAATGCAGTGTGATGTACAGCTCACCACTCAAGTCTGGTGACTCCAAACACACAGTATATACACAAACCCACTCAGATGCACTGTGGGAAAAGACCTATAATGATTTCCAAACAGTTTCCCGAGTCTAAAGGCAGCATTCTTGTCTTACATCTGTTTACAGCTGTCGCTCACTGGAATGAGCTGCTGCTTGTGTCTGCATGGACATCTCTGTTTGTTTTAACACATGAACACACATCATCACGAGCGTCACAATGTACTCACAGCCAGCAATGCTGTGTGGAGCCATGCAGGCAGTTCCCCCTGTTGAGATATTGAGCTGCCTTTAGCCACCCCGTCATAAAGGGGTTTGTACTTTCACTGTGGTTCTGAAATTACTTTTTAAAAACTGTGTTCATTGAAAAGCTGTCATTTAAAAGACCCTCAAAACCTTTCTGCTTTCTTACCACTCTTTCTCACAAGGTCTAAGCAATTTGGACACAATAAGGCAATTTGTTTATTCACAGTTGTGATTAAACTGGTGGAGTAGGACAGCTCACCAGCTGTGGCGACGCCTTCTACAGTATGTGAGCGTGCACACCTTCACATAAGCAGGGAGCGTTTGACATTTCACTAAGCAGAAACAAGAAAAGCAGCAGTTTTGCTGATGTCGACATGATAAACGATTTAATGTTAGCGTAGCTGAAACTGTTACTCATTTGGGATCTAAACCTTTAGTCATAAAATTACTGGAATTCTGGATTTCAATGTTCTTATTATAAGAAATGTAAACTTTTCTTCGAGGGATCCAAAGACATTTCCAACTACTTTATTCATCATTTATATATCATTACTCCTCCTCAGTATGCCATTTATAAATACAGATATTATTATGATTATGATTATTACTAGCAGTGATGGTGTAGCACTCATGGCTGTACAAAGTGTAACAGTAACAGATGGATGAATATATCTGTACTTATAAATGGCATACTGAGGAGGTGTAATGATATATAAATGCTGAATGAAGTACTTGCTAATACATTATTAAAGTATTACCTTTTGTTTATATTATGTATTTTGAGAGAATAATCTAGCTCAGAGGTGGATGCCTCAGACAATCAGCCTGGCGGTGTTATTGGATTTAGCACTGAAATAGTTTTAAAGGCTTTTTCTAATAACTGATTTGCAATTTAACACAATAAGCTTACATTAGGTCACACTATATACTACTGAAAAACAGAAACCTACTTAGATTTCTGTATTAAAAATTATACATTTATTTTACATTTAAAAAGTGTAATTTGTTTAAGAAAAAAGAAAAGAAAGGATCCAAACTCGTCCATTTTGAGGTTTTTTTGTTTCCCTCGGCCAAATTTGTTTACTCAAACATTTAGAAAATGATATGCATAAGTTCTGCACATGTCCACAAAGCTTGCCCTCCGTATAACTAGAACAAAAGACAATTGCAGTATAGTTTTATTTTATTTCATCCAGTCTTATAAGCAGAAATATCATTGCAGTCGATTTTCCAAAATCCACAAATATAAACTGTGTTCGTTAGAAGAGAAAATTGGCATCCAGCTTTGCAGTTATTAATCAAACACAGGTCCGTAGTATTGCAGTGACTCATTGCTCTGACATCTCCTTGCGTAGCAAATACAGCGTCCATCTCTTGCCCAATATTCCTGCATTGCTCACTTTGATCCTGACTGGACATTTTCCAGTGTAGAAGTATGCGTATGTGTGACATGAAAACACTGAAGTGATGGAAGTGATGGGAAATAATCCCATATCAGGCTAGTGTTCACAACACAGGAAAAGGTTCCTGTTTAGATTCAGTGTATTTGATTACAAGTGAGACCAGCACATGTAAATAACAGTACTTGACTACATTCTAGAAAATGGCAACTTTGTGTCACAGTCCTTTTGAACTTTAGCCCAGTGTATCCATATAATGTGTAATCCTGTAATCCTCCACCTGCAAACTCATGAGTCCCATTATCCTCCACCATCTCCTTTATCAAAACCTGCTTTAGCAGCTGTGTCACGTGTGACATTTTGTGTAAAACTACGATAGTTTCCCATTAAGGTAATATTTATGCATTCAGGAAATGGAATGAATAAACATGCAAACGTATGAGCGTTGACATGTAGGCCAGAGATACACATTTTTTTGGTTGCTGTAGCCTTTTCCAAATAGTTTATCCAACAAAAATAACAGTAAATATTACACACTTGGTATCAGAAGACAGGAACAGGGCGGATAATGCACAGCTATGCACAGGCCTTTATCACACACACACACACTCACACACAAACGCATATATCCAAATTAGCCAGTATCTTTAACGCATGCAGGTTAAAAGGAGACCAAGACAGAACATGCCGTTCCTTTGATGACCGGACTTTGAGGAAGCAGAAGATGTTGCGTGTTTTGGGAATTTTCGAGTTCGCCTCAGCATCTGTAGATAGCAGTACTGGATAGATGACTAAACAGTTTGACACGTTGGCTTTCCTGTCCGGTGCTAAGAAATCCACCTTCTAGGGAGTCGACATCCAGCAACAGGCCAATTTCTGTTTAAGAACCTGTTGAGCAGCTGAATATTAATTGACAATGTCGTGCTTAACTGAAAAGAGCACTTCCTTATGGGGGCACAGAACAAATGCAGAACCAAGAAGTGAGCTTAAAAACACGTTTAATTGTTTTCATATTTTTTCACCTTTATTTATTTACAGGGCTACCATCTGTGAACCAAGTATGTAAACTGACATTTGTACATTAAAAAAACATCTAAGAAGGTGAGATTCGACTCCCCGTGTGCTGTAAAATCTGCTGCTCACAGGAAACGACACACACAATAAATGCCATTGTTTCATTACCCAGTGTGACAAACTAGACAAACTACAGGTTGTATGGAGTTGGCCAGAGCAGTTAAACTAAATTAAAGCTGACCCCAAACCCGGAGTAGTGTGAAGTTGAGAAGATTTGAGCTTTGTGCTGAAAGCAGCCATCAGACAAGGAGTACACTGTGCTCATGAGCTAAGTCAGGGGTGTAGAACTCCAAGCCTCGAGGGCCAGTGTCCTGCAGGTTTTAGATGTGTCCTTGATCCAACACAACTGATTCAAATGGCTAAATTACCACCTCAGCAAGTCTTGAAGTTCTCCAGAGGCCTGGTAATGAACTAATCATTTGATTCAGATGTGCTGACCCAGGGTGAGATCTAAAACCTGCAGGACACCAGCCCTCGAGGCCTGGAGTTCGACACCCCTGGGCTAAGTGTTGCAGGAAAATATCACCCACACCAATGCACCTACCATCCAGCAGACTCAGCCGACCAGCATTCTTCCAATTTTCAACTTTTAGTGAACCTGTGAGAAATGAAGTCTTAGTTTCCAGTTCTTAGATGAGTGCATTATTATTATTGCCTTCCTATCGGCTCAAAACAGTCTGGCCATTCACTTTTGACTTTTAGCATCATTGCGGTGACTGGGTATGGGAGTTCAACACTGCATTAACAGAGTGTGAATGTGTCTTACTGTGATGCAGAAAGCACTCGGACACAAAAACAAGTATATGGGTGAATGTTGTATACGTGGGAAAGCCTCTGAGATCTTCCTTATTGAACTTGCGCATAAGCTTCATTAATAACATTGCCATTCAAATGTTCAGCTTCAGCAGGAAGTCATGATATGTAATACATCTTGATATATGCCTAAATGCACTGAGTGGTGCACGTGATTGCACAGAAAACAACACTTTCACACAGCCCCAATCGGCCCCTACCCGAGTCTGGTTCTGCAGGAGGTTCCTTCCTTCCTATTGTCGCCAAGTGCTTGCTTGTAGGGGGTTGTCTGATTGTTGTGTTTTCTCTGTATTACTGTAGTTCCTTTACCTTACAATATAAAGCACCTTGATAGGACTGTCATAACTTGGCGCTATATAAATAAAATTGAATTGAATATAAATAATTAAAAAAGCTGTTATCTTTCAGAGAGTAAGCTGTTCGTGTGAATGAATATCCTCTTGCACAAGATATTCTGAGAAAATTACCTTTTCTTATTACTTCCCTTTTTAGCTGAGCTCAACAAGAATTCAGAATTTACAACATGCCAGTAAGATAACTGGACTTTACCGTGTCGTGAATAAAGGAACAATCAATATAATCCAAGCTTTTTTTAGTGCATTGCATCGTGTAGCTGAGCGGAAATGGTAATTTTGTCTGAAAACAATATGCACAATTTCCACAAACAAAGCATTTGTCGAAATCGCCCCATACATGCAACTGATGTGTTCCATTTTGGTCTGTTGGCCAACACCTGTTACAACATGTCTGTTTTCAATGTGCGTGCGTGTACTTGGGGAGCAAACATCACCATCAAGAGAGGCCAAAGAAGGAAGGGCACAACATTGTTGTTTTAAAATTACTTTTAAAGTTTATTCAAAGAAAACAAAACAAAAAACTTTCAGGAAAATACATGACTTCCTGTCATACACAGAGAGGACATAAGTTAGAGTAGCACGGCAGAAACAGCAGAGGAAAAAACACGTTGCCTCACGTCCAAGCCTGCAAGGAACGTTACTGTAATGTTTCCATGTTGAAGCAGCGTTGTGTGAATACCTGAAATGAACAACACGTGTGTTCTTTGTTGTGGAAAAAGTTAGCAGGGGTGGGAGAAATGACAAAGAAAAATAAATAAAAACTAACGAAAGATTTCAAATATCCAATAAAAAGTGGGCTCAAAAAGCAGAAAGTATGAGTTAAAGAACTAAGATGCATTATGCTCTCAAACATAAATACCATGATGCACATTAGTGTAACAAAACATTGCCTCTGTAAACAGTTTCTCCACCTAAGGTGAGTGTAATAATATTAAACCACCGCAGTCGCATAGTTACGTTTACAT